AATCCTAGAGCTTGTGGTGGAGAGGCAATAATGAGGAAGACGAAGGGTTTTCTGTGGTGACCGATTCCTTCTGTTCAGCAATAGTACAATTTTTTGGGCGGAATTGATGTCTCTCAAAAGAAGGCCGATTACTTCTTTCTAGAGGCGACGATATAATGCTTGTTGAGATTAGATTGGATTCTCAGATTCTTGTAGTAATTCTAAAAAAGAATTTTCTAAAGGCCTAGAAGTATAGATCATCCTAAATTAAAATTATATCAAATTTGAGGAATATTCATTATTATATCTTGTATACGTTCAAAGAGATAAACTATGTTATGGATAGAATGACGGCTCATGGCTCGAGAAATGAGGTTTTCAATCCTCATGATATTATATTGGACCGCCTATATGATTTTTGGTATTTGCATCGGTTAGTGTGAGTCAACTATGGACTTAAACCAAAAAATTTTCTCTCTCTATTGGATAGACTTATGATTCCTTTTTATTAGGAATTAAGTTGGTCATCGATGTTATCCTATTATGCATAGAACTTGCATGTTGTTGAAAGCCACAAGTGAACTCCTATTAGGATTCTAGTTGTAGTAAGAATAAAAGTCATTATGGACTTGGACTCTTACTGAGATTTAGAACTTGTAGACTTATATTCCTACTAGAACTCATATTCCGTATACAGTAAGGAGTTGGGATCTTCAAGCCTTTATATGTATAGTCTTTCAAACTAATTATCAATATCAATCTACAGGGCACCAATCAAGAATAGAGGGTTCTCTTGTGAAGCCTATTTGATATTTTTCTCTCTTTTGTTCCTTTATTTGAGAAAGTTGTATTAGATTTTTGGGGTGTATTAGGGATTGAGTGATTAGGAGATATTCACATGGTATTCCTTACAAATTGTTAGTAAAGCTATTCTCCTCCTTCGTCCGTGGATATAGGCTATAAGCTGAACTACGTATATATGTACGTTATTTGTGTGTGATTGCTATTAATTTATCCTAGAATTTGTCACAACAAATTAGTATCAGATCCCTTAGCTATCGATTGAATGAGAAGATAATGACAACTAATGCGAAGTGGGATATTAAGAAGTTTGATAGAAATATCAGTTGCAGCCTTTGGTAAGGTAGATTATCGATGTGCTGACAAAGAGTAGATTGAAGAAGACTTTGTTGGGGAAGTCGAAGAAGTCGGCTACCATGATGGAGGAAGATTGGAACGAATTCGATGATAAAGCTCTCATAGCGATCTAGTTATGTATGACAAATGAAGTCTTACAAGAAGTTCTCATGGAAAACCCATATGTTGATTTGTGGTCTAAGTTGGAGGATTTGCATTTGACAAATTCATTAATCGCCTCCTCTTGAAGTAGCATTTGTATATATTTTGGATGTCATTTACACCCATCAATTCTCATATTGGTGAATTCAAATATGTAATTACATATTTGAGTAAGATTGATGATAAGTCTGGTGATGAAGTTCAAGCCCTATTGTTCTTTGTCACCTTCCTACAAGCACTTTAAGTATATTATGATTTACGGTCAAAATTCTATTATCATCAAAGACGTCAAAGAGAACTTGTTAAATAAGGAGAAGATCAACAAAAAATTAACTACAAGGAAAAGTAGTAATAAAGATGATGACTTATTTGTTGAATGAAGATCGGAGGAAGGGGTTTTGGAGGTAACATGTATAAGTCGAAGCACATGAATCTAACCTATGTATATTGTAAGAAGAAATGCAACATCAAGACCGATTATCATAGGTTGAAGAAGAAGAAGAAACAAGAAGAGTATGAAGAAAAGCTAAAGAAGGACACCGTTAAAGTTGGTATTGCTGAAGATGTGTTGTTGGCTACTCGCAATAAAAGAGGAGCATGGAAGATTACATTTTGGACTCGGGTTATTCCTATCATATGTGTCCTAATTGGGACTGGTTCATCACTTATTGATGGTAGAGTTATTCTCATGGGGAATAATGCCTCATGCAGGATGGTTGGAAAATGGACAATTCAGATTAAGATGCATGATAGAGTCATCAGAATTTTAACTGATGTTAGGCATGTTCGAGAATTTTAGGGAAGAATCCCATCTCTTTAGGCACTCTTGATAGTCTTAGATGTAATTTTTTAGGTGAATGTGGGGTTCTTAAAATTACAAAAGGCTCTCTTATGGTTATGAAAGGAAAATAAGTCGGTGGTGTGTATAGTTCACAAGTCTCTATTGCTAATGGTTCAGCTACATTTGCATCATTGATAGCAGGTGCAGATACTACTAGATTATGATATATGAGACTTGGCCATATGAGTGAGCAAGGATTGGAAGAGTTGAGCAAGAAGGGTTTTTATGTGGACAAAGTACATAAAAGTTAGGGTTATGTGATCATTGCACCTTCGGAAAGCAGAAAAGAGTCAACTTTAGTATGACAGTGAATCAGACTAAAGGTATTTTAGATTATATCCATTTAGATCTTAGAAGACCTTTTCAAGTTGCCATAAAGGGTGGTACTTTAAGATACCTTCAATGATGACTACTCCAGGAAGGTTTCGGTCTACATTCTGAGACTTAAATATGAGGTTTTGTGACTTTTAGGCGGTAAAAGTCTTTGATTAACGAGCAAACTGAGAGACTGATCAAGAGGCTTAGAATTGATAATAGCCTTGAGTTTTATGGAGGTGAATTTAATGAGTTTTACTAGAATAAGGGAATTTGTTAGACATCTCACAATCCCTCGCACACTGCATTAGAATGGAATGGCAGAATGTATGAATAGAACCCTTTTGGAGAAAGCTCATTATACATTATTCAATGCAAGTTTAAGCAAGGAATATTGAGCGGAAGCAATGAATACAACTTGTTACTTAGTTAATCAGTCGCCATCTACTGCTATCGGTTGTAAAACTCCAAGGCATGTTTGGTTTTATAAGCATGCGAATTATTCTAATCTAAGAATATTTGGTTGCCCTGCATATGTGCATGCTAGTCAAGGAAAACTTCAGCCTCGAGCAAAGAAGTGCATATTCCTATATTATACATCGGGTGTTAAGGGTTTTAGGTTGTGATGTCCTGATCTGATGACTCCTAAGATTATAATCAGCCATGATGTCACTTTTAATGAGCGTACTGTGTTTCACCAGTAATTGTCATCACTTTCAGTTGATGATGACGAAGAGCGCACTATAGGATAGAAGGTAAAGTTAAAAATTCGTGATTCAACTCTTCAACAACCATATCACATTTAAGTAGATGAAGCACCTCAGCAGCTGCAAGAAGAGCAAGAATACACTATTGCTAGAGATCAGTCTAGACGAGATATTCGACCACTGTGAAGATATGAAGATATAGTAGCTTATGCATTGTCAGTTGACAATTTTTTCCTTCAGCTATTCAGGAGCTACTTTAGATGATGACTTCACTAAGAGTTATGATCGTCATGCAGACAATTCGGTTTTTTTAGGAGGCCTCTTTCAATTAGCAAGTTTAAACTTGGCTTGGACTTGATCGATATGTGTTGTACTTAGATGCATTGTGAGGCTATTGGCGAAGGTGCATAAGTTAGCTAATATGGAGCGAAGAACTTTTAAATATTTGAGTCAAGTTGGAGATTTGTTACTGTAACTCAAATATGAACTGAAACCAAGAGGTATTTTTTATTTAATAGACTTGGCTGAGAGAATTCCTTTTGATTATGAATTAAGTTGGTCATCAATGCAATCCTATTATGCATAGGACTTGCAGGTTGGTGATACAGAAAGCCACAAGTCGACTTCTATTAGGACTCTAATTGCAATAAGAATAGAAGTCATTATGGGCTTGGACTCTTGCTCGGCTCTCGAACTTGTGGACTTATATTCTCACTAGAATTCCTATTTTGTATGCAGTGAGGAGTTGGAATCTTCAAGCCTATATATGTACAGTCTTTCAAACCAATTATCAATATCTATCTACAAAGTGTCAATCAAGAATAGAGAGTTATTTTGTGAAACTATTTGATTTTTCCCCTCTTTTGTTCCGTTGTAAGAGAGAGTTGTATTAGTTTTTAGGGTGTATTAGGGATTGAATGGTTGAGAAATCTCTGTATTGTATTCCTCACAAAGTGTTAGTAAAGCTATTCTCCTCCTTCGTCCATAGACGTAGGCTACAAGCCGAACCACGAATATCCGTGTGTTATTTGTGTTCTTGATATTTTTTATACTTTCATGTGATTGATATTAGTTTATCATAGGCATTTGTCATAAAAACATCACATTCAAAAAAAAGCACAAGTAACTATTTCTAAGAGCACGTCAGACTTGTGCTAGTTTTGTCACCATGTATTTTCATTTCCTTTGGGTCTCAAAGATTTTCTGACATCTTTTAGGTTTTCCACATGTTCAAAAGTTTTCAAGACCCCTCCTTTTTTGTAAGCTTTTAATTACCATACTTTCCATAAAAAAAAAAAAAAACATTGACACTTCAGCCAAAAATAAAATAAAATGTGTGGATCCGTATATTTTGGGTCTAAAAGTGATTGTAGAAATTGATGTGTTTAAAAATAATTTGAGGTAAAATTTTAATTTATAGGTAAAAGACATTTATTCAAGTGTGTGGCTAAAAAAAATAAAT